GGATACTGAACTTGATTTTGAAATGGCTGATAATAGAACCTTAAGACAATTAGTTGCCCCTGATGTAAATTATAATAGCTTGTGTATTGAATATGATGATGTTGCTGTTCCTTTCGAATCGGAATCTGGTTTAATACACTTGTTGTCAAGGTTTAATGGATTTGCAGGTGATGATCCGAATAAGCATATGAATGAATTCCAAAATGTGTGCTCTACACCTTCTGAACCTTCACTAGAGGACCTTGTCAAGCAAATGGCTATAAATGATCTTCAGTTTCAGCAACAAACAGATTCAAGTCTTCAAGCTTTGCAGACACAGATTGAACAGCTTGCCACTATAGTGAATGTCATGCAACAAGCTCAAGATTCAAACCAACCATCTGCCCAAACAGTAGTGAATCCAAAAGAGTTTCCTTCTAATTTAGTTGATGATACTTATTTTGAATTGTATTTTGATTTTCCATCATTAGCAGATTTTGATGATACTTACTCTTGTGATTCATGTACCGACACTAACATTTGTTCTGTTTGTGCTGAGATTAATGCTGCCGTACAGGGTGGTGTTTTTCATGCAGATGAAGTTGTTTATGAAGCTAAAACTCTTAACATCATGGATGCCCCAACCTCACCATCCATTGAACAACCTTCCCCCTTGGAGCTTAAACCACTTCATAACAATCTGAATTATGCTTATTTAGATACGGATAAAAATCTTTCAGTTATAATTTCTTGTAACCTTGATTCTTATAAAGAAAATAAGCTTTTTCAGGTTTTGAAGAAACATAAGAAGAGACTTGGATGGAGCTCGATTAAAGAGAGAAGAAAAGCAGTGAGACAACTCTTTAATCCTTTGTTATCTGATGTTGATGTTGTGGAAAAGGATATCACATTTACGTGCCCATTCGACACTTTTATTTATCGAAGATTCTTATTTGATCCTGGAATAAAAGGCGAAGACACTAATACAAATTTCAAGGGCGATGGATGCTATCCAAAGTTATTCCCCACTTTGGAAGAGGAGACTGCAGAAAATCTCTCTTTGGGAAAGGATGCATATGTGATCACTTATCCACCTTGACTCGTCGGGTGTGTTCTTTCCTTTCCCTCACTCTTATTTTATATTTATATTTATGTCCTTTCATTGAGGACAATGCTTGTTTTAAGTCTGGGGGAGGAAAACCTTTGCTTTATATTTTGTTTTGTTTTGTTTTCAGTTATAATAATAAAAATTAAAAAAAAATGCATCTTTTTGAAAGTTCTAGGCTAAAGACTAATTTGAGATTAGTTTACGGAGACCTGAGAATAATTCACAAGATCGGTATTGTCTTAACACCGTAAGTCTCCTGCATGTGGAAATTGATTTGAATACTCTTTATGTTTTAGCCTTGAATTTTCATTCTCTGACAGCTCTTGAGTAGTTTATTTCAGCAGTCAGCATCATCTCATACACACTCTACGCAGGGAAGCCGATGAATATAAGTGAGTGATCAAATTGAAAAGAAAAAAAGAAAAAGAAGAAAAAAAGAAAAAGAAAAGAAAATAAAAAGTTGAATTTTTTTTTATTACTCGTTAGTTGGTTCAGCGATTTCTGGTGCTGAACTTGGTAGGGCGGATTACGGTCCGATCCCCCGCAACTACATTTGAGTCGGCAAAGGATTATGCCACGTAAGTACCAGAGCCCCAAATAAAAAGGATCAGAGTCACTAACCGGTCGCCTTGCTATGAGTGTGTGGAGATAACGGGCTTAATGTGATTGCGCCTGAATGAAAAAGAGCAAAAAGGAGGAAGAGTAAGTTAGGCTTCAACATAATAACATGATTCGAGTTGATTTGTATATTCAGGAGGTTTATGTCTGCACAATTTTGGATTAGTGTTCCTACGATATCCTTAATGTGTAAGATTAGTACCTATCGATGCAAACTTAACCGAAGAAGACTTACAGCTTGGAATGAGTAACTGTTGATGTGTTTGTGTTTTCTTTGTTTTGTTTTATTTTCATTTTGCTCGGAGTGCAAAAGTTCAAGTGTGGGGGAATTTGATCAGTGCATTTTGATGCACGTTCTTCCATGTTTGTACTCAAGCATTTCTTTGATTTTATTTATTTATTTGTATGTTTTAACGTGTTTTTATATTTTATTTTATTTTTGCATTTAATTGTTTTTCGTATTTATTTTTCAGCTTTAACAGCTTTCGCGAGAAAAATCATAACTGGAGTTCCGGGAGTCCGTTTGAGGCGTTCTAAAAATCGCCGGAAAGCTAAGAGAGAGAGCTACAACTTTCATGTTAGAGTCGAAGTCAGATTCGGAGCCCAAAATTCCAGAATTTCGTTTGAAGTTACAATATTAGGAATTTGTTTTAGTTTTGGGTCTGGGTTATGTTTTCGACCCAGTTGGGTTATGACCCGAATTCTGATTTTTATCCTCTTTAGTCTAGGTCTGGCCGTACAACCAAAAAAAACCTATTCACTATTCACGAAAAAATAAAAAAAAAACTTCGAGAAGAACTCATGGAAAACTAATACCTCCGGGCAAATCCTGTTGTGTATGGTTTCAACACTTTGAGGTTATTATAATATCAATTTAAATCTGATTCCTTTCAATCCTTTTCTATGAAGTCATTTGCTTAATTTGATTGCAATTGTTTGCTTAATTCAATTGTTGTTCATAGGATATAATTGATTAAATTCGATTGTATGCATGTTCCTAAATTTAATTGTGTGTTATCGTTTGCTTAATTCGTTAATTCGTCATATTCTTAACCGTTTGCTTAATTCGGTAAACAAGAACATAATTCATTTGATGTTAGTAAGCGCTTGTCTGATTAATATCATAATCGAATAGGATTGGAGCCGTTTAGGGATTGATGTTATAATAGTCGATGATAAGTCGGAACCCGAATCAGTAGGATTAGCCGTTTTATCTTATTTTAATAATCATTTTTTTTTATAATCACTTATTTTCAGTATTTTTTCTCTTAATCAAAATTCAAACCCCCATAAATTATTACTTTATTGGTCAATCATTACAAGAATCCTTTTGAGAACGATATTTCGAGTCACTGTCGCTATACTAGCATTTTTCTAAAATTACTCGTTTTTGATCCGCGAGCGACCGCGGATCAAGGGGTAATCGAGCGTGGAAAAGTCTAAGTGCTGAAGGTTTCGACATATCATAATGCTGCTGATATGATGACCAAGACATTGCCCAATTGCAAGTTTTTCCACTGTATGCAGTTGATAAAGCTGCATGAAGAAAACTAGTTTGTTTCTTGAGGTTATAGAGTTTGTTTCAAGGTGGAAATTTGTGAGATATTGGATCGAACTCTAGTATTATTGACATAGGTTTAACATGCCGTCGAAGTCTGTTCACATGCTGTTGTCGAAGACCTACATGTTGTAGTCAAAATGTGTTTTAGTATGTAGTTGTTGAATTGAGCCTTGTGTTAAGGATCCAATTGTTTAAGTTAACTTGTACCCTAAGTTAGCTTGTAATTGGTAATGTTAAAAAGCTCATTAGTTTAGTATGTTAAGTTTTATTATAAATAATATACTAGTCTCTCATCTTAAGTGTGACAAATCCTAATTAGGGCGAGAGAGTTATTTGTTATTCTTGAATACTTGTAATCTAATTCAAAGAGAAAGTAAAGAAAAACAATTATAATCAATCCTTGTTGTTGTTTATTGTTATTTGATAGGTGTTGAACTATCATTCATTTATATTTGTCTTTAATGATATAATGATAAAAATAATTATACACCAAATACAAAATGAGAATTTTTCACCCTAATATTTATCATTATACCCAACCTTTCAAATTAATTTCCATTCTACCCACGTTTCAAACAAAAAAAAAATCTTATAAGGGGGGCGCCATCCCCTATGGCGTCACCCCTTATGGAGTCACCCTTATAATTATATGGGGGGCGCCATCCATGATGGAGTCACCTTTAAATGAATAAGAGGAGACGCCGTCCCGTTTAGAGCCCCCTTATTTCGTTAAATTTATTTAATTATTAATAAATTATATATTACATGTTTATAATATTTATTATTATTTTATTTATTATTATTTTTGTATAAATAAATGAGGCTTGTATATTCTTTCACTCTTAAATTAACATTGTTTCTTACAAATTTAACACGGAGTATCAAACACCCAATTAACCCTTACCCACCCAAACATTTACACCCATGTCACCTTACGACCAAGCAGCCATCGTCCCGACATTGCTTCATTGAGCCAACCACTCTAACATAATTATGCAGGGCACGGGCAACCCCATTAATTTGGATGACTTTTAGGATATCGACTCATCTTCATGGGCCAAAATGATCCAATTGCTTGAAGATGACTCATTGGATCCGACTCCACCATAAAGACCACCAAGAAACATACGTACTAGAGGATGCGATACAGGCGGACATTTACATCGACCTAGTCATAGAAATTAGTGTACCATATTACTCCTATATACTCATTTGTTATTAAATAAAAATATTAATTATTATTTAATATATTATTTATTAAATACATTTAATTTTTAATTATATTCTTTATTAAATATTATTTAACATATTTTTTATTAAAAAATATTTAAAAAAATTCGTTTAAAGGAGACTCAATCATAGATGACGCCCCTTTATAATTATAAGGGTGATTTTATAGGGATGACACTTCCTTTATAATTATAAGGGTGACTCTATTAGAGATGACGTCCCTTATAAAAAAATTTGTTGTTTTGTTTAAAATGTGGGTTGAATAAAATTTAATTTAAAAAATTCCATATAATGATAAATATTAGGATGAACTATGGGTATCAGGGTGTGAAAAATTCACAAAATGAGTGTCATAAGTAACCGATTATGTTGTAAGGCTAAGTCTCGTAAAATAGGTCCTTCCAGTCAAACTTTGTGACTAATTTTTCATTGATACATTACGATCCTTGAAACTCTTGAAATTTGTGTTCCTTCTAAAGTTCCGAAATCACACTAATCTATTCAATGGCAGCATTTCGCATCGCAACCAGAATCACAAATCACCATCATCATTTCTTAAACAAGAACTATAATCACCACTACCGTTCAATTTTCACCACACTCCACCTTCAGAATTCATGGATCAACAAGGTCAAAAACGTCTTCACACCCCAAAAACCCGAACAACCACCGCAAGTAGACGCATCTCAATTCCCCTCCGGATCATTCACACTTCTCAGTAACTTCATTTCCCTCACTTCAATCTCTTCTTCGTACTTTTAGGTTTTAATTTCTCATCCAATTTCAGATTTCGCCGATGAAATGAAGAAAGCGAGAAAAATTGGCGCGTTTAAAGAGTACATGGTTGGAAGAAGCAGTGAAGTTACTTTCGCTACTGCGTTTGAGAAATACGAAGCGATTATTCGATATCTCGCGGCTTTTGATTATACCGGAGAGGTATCTTTTTGTTTAGATTAAACTGTAATAATGTAGTTGGTTGTATGAATTTGTTATTAGAGTTTTCTGCATTTGTTTGTTTTTTAGGGTTTATGAGGATTTTGTTTTGTTATGTTTAGAATTTGAAGACTAGTCATAAACAAGAAGCGGCGAAACACTGTAATTGCACAATTGCTGATGTGGAGAATGCACTTGCGAAATTTACTTGGGCTAAAGAAGCACAGAAGAAGATTCAGGAGTTGAACAAAGAAGGAAAACCTATGCCGAAAAATATTGCTGAAGTAATATTCCTCCTTAATTAACACTTTTACCTTCTTATTGTTTGTTGTTATACTTGAAAATTGGTCTTGTTTTGGCATTTTTATCTTGACATTTAAAAGAAGGAGTCAATTTGGGTTTGTATGACTAGCTAGGTGCTAAGCCGATGATTTTTTTCTGTGATAAAGAATTTAGGGTTTAGGGTTTAGGGTTTAGGCTTCACAATTTGGTTTTAGAATTGTTTTAGACTGTAGAGCCGCTGAGCCAGTGAACAAAGAAGGGAAACCAATGCCGAAAAACATTGCTGAAGTAATCTTCCTCCTTAATTAGCACTTTTACTGTCTTATTAAAGATATACATCTCGCTTTTATGTTAGTTGTTATACTTGGAAATTGGTATTGTTTGGGCATTTTTATCTTGAAATTTGAATAAAGGAGTGCAATTTGGGTTGGTATGACTAGCTAGGTGCTAAGGCGGTGATTTTTCTCTGATAAGTAATTTAAAGTTTAGGGTTTAGGGTTTATGATTTAGGCTTCACAAACTGGTTTTAGAATTATTTTGGACCTTAGAGCCACTGAGCCAGTGAATTTTGTGAATTTTTATGTATGCCACACTGCTCAATATTAATTGCTTATATTAGCCTCAATGCATTCTATGTATCATTAGCATGTTTGGAATTCCAGCGACAACGGTCAAGTCATGATGTCACTGTGTGGCTTGATGTGTCGCGCAGTCACGGTGCGATGTTTGCATGATTTGGGTGCCTATATGTAGATAATATAATGCATGCAAACCAAGTCAAGAATCAATTTCTTTGATAACTAAGATATTTGTGAGTTTATGAGCATATGCATAATATGATAAGAGGATTACTTTGCTGTGTCAAATAATCTGTGTAACCATTCATATTTATTTTTCTTGTTCTCTAGCTTCAAAAGCTTGTCGGTACAAATCCATTGGATCTTGCAAGGTCTAATTTGGCTAAAAGTGGACAAGTTAGCAGAAATGCCCCCTGTCCATGTGGTTCAAAGAAGAGATATAAAAGGTTGTTTTTTCACCTTCTGTTCAAAATATAGAATTTTTTTTGAGAACCAGCTAATTCCTAACTCTTTTTTTTTTTCTTTTCTGTTTTATAGTAGTTGCACTCATTTCTCAATTACAAAAGCTAAATAGTCTGTGTATCTTTGCTTGATAAAGTTTTTGGGGTTTCTCACATTTTTACACACTAGCCGGGGACTTAATGCTACATCTTTACATGACTAAGCAAATGGGTTTATAGAATAAATAGTGCTTTCTGACCTATAATTACTGATTTTCTAATTTTTTGAATTTGATAGATATTAGATTAGTTTACTTCCTAGTAACTTTTTATGTCTCTGACCGTTGTGATTAAACTAAATTTCTTATTCTCTTGTTGAAAAGAAAAGTATAATTTCTTACTCGGTTTTTGTATATTTTCAAAAATAGGATTTGGTGTTTTAATATGTATGTATCACAGTGTGAAAACTACTGCATGTCTATTTATAAACCTAACTCTGTAATTTTTCAGTTTTTCTTTTTTAATACCTTTCTATTGAAAAAGTGAAAAACATTTTTCTTTCCTCCAATTGTTTTGAATTTCAATTTCAATTTCAGTATATACTAGCAGAATGTTATTTATGATAATTTTTTCAAAATTTATCAACTTATGCTTCTTGACATTTATTTATGTAGATGCTGTGGAAAGGATTGAAAGAATTGAGAGACTAAATATTAATCTGAAAGGAAGCTTTGTCTGCTAGAGGCGCAAAGCTATGCCTGAATAGATCTAGACCCGTGCTCGGTTTTATTTGGTTCAGATCAAGCCGTCAAATTGCGGAATCGCACACAATAATCAAATGTTAGGATGAGATATCTTGCCAAATAGTTGCTTTAGTTTGTTAGTCTGCAATTTTTGGGGTGTACTTGGGCAGAACTGAACAGAATATTTTTGTTCAGCTGAAGAGAAAAAGAACAAAATTGTTAAGGCAGAAGTTAATTTTATGCTCTGTCCTCTCATTTTCTTATTTTATTGATCCAGTGTAATATTTCATTGAACAAAATTAACATATTTCAATTTCAACTTATTTGTTTACAATTTTTGAATAGAAATTGAGGAAAATTGATCTCACTTATAGAAAAGACGGCTCACACTTTTAGTTAATGGAAATGCTTAAATTATTTGTTACTGCAATGTGGGTCTCTATTCTCTGCATGTCATCTAGCACACCTGAGCAGCATATTATACTAATGGGCTATTCGGATGATGTGGCCGTAGCTAATGCTACGGGAATGCTAGCAAGATAAAAATGCGCCCTTCCCATGAAATCAAGTAATTACGATTCTGTGAGAAGAGTGCCAAATCAATAACATGGTATGATGAAGAATTGAACCTATGTTGTTCCCAAGCCGATTGTATTGATGATCATGGCAACCTGCACAATGCTCAGTTACCAAGCATCAGAGACAACTTGGGCACTTGATATCGTTAAATAAAATTCAATTGCACAACTCACATGCAACTTTAACCCAAAAACCAAAATACAACTTATCAGATCCAGAAAAACTTGCAAATATCGTTAAATAAAATTCAATTGCACAACTCACATGCAACTTTAACCCAAAAACCAAAATACAACTTATCAGATCCAGAAAAACTTGCAAATTTTTGAAAAATCGTAATAACTATCTTTATTTGATAATCTCACTTAATGATATTATTAAACTCATTGACTGTACTGATGTAAAAATCCACAATAATTTCAAACGAACTATGCCAGTCTGGCTTTTGAGGAACAAAAGGCAGCAATTGATGAAAAAATACATATAATTTAAGAGAATGATGAAGTGGTGTTACATACAAGCAATGTCTTTAATTAATATATGTGGAATGTGTCTGCATATATACTTGAATTTCCTGCGTTAATCATAATGGAACTTTGAAGTTAAATTAGAGCTCACAGGCACACCAGCATATGAATATTTGCTATGAATCCACAAGCCAATGACTCAGTTGTCCCGAGTAAATTGGAAAAACAAATTATAAAACACTTGAAGCATATTAAATAGCATTTACATGTTGGTAAGTCTACTGCATGGATGTAATGGTATACAAGTCGCAATGTTTCAAAACCTTTGTTTAGAAAATACGTTTCTATACGACTGTACAAAACACATGGTGCGTGCTTGCTATAGTCCATAAAGGACCTTTTTAGGTTTATAGCTTTTATACTCAATTTACCTTGTTGTACATAAGCACAAGGCTAACCAACATAAAGAATTGAGATTTAAAAGCTGTGAGTTGTAATGTCGAGACAATGCTAAGCATCTGTAATAAATCAAGTAATTAGAATTACATTGATTGAAAAATGACAATACCACGGGAAGAGTATAAAATCAAATTAATGAAGAGTATAAAATCACATTGATTAAGCTCATAGACCGGATGTATATAGACCACATTGATGGTAAATGTAAAGAAAGTCTTGAGAATGTGTAAGAGAAGAAAACAGTGAAGTAGTATGACCTGTTTGTTGCCTTTGAAATTGGAACGTGTTGTATGGCAAGATTTGTTGATATGGATGATGAAGTATTTGATGTGTTGAAAGGTAGTGGCTATAACAATGGATTCCAACTACAGATGATTGATTAATCTATCATCATAAAACATGTGGTTTGAGAAGAAAAAGCTGGGTTGCACACGCTTCACGCAGCTCTGAATAAAAGGTTCAAGGGATGTTGTGAGTAGTAGCTTGTTAAAAAATGGAAGTAGTAACTTAGTCCCACATCGGTGGAGTTTCAGGTGTGCAGTGTGACAGCAGGTTATAAATAAAATGTGATATCCAACATTGCAACATACTTACCTGGATGGGGTCAATGGGTGATCATGAAGGCCCATGGCCTAGGATTGTGACCTCCATTGCACTTAGGAGGGGTGCTTTCCTAAGGTCTACCCAAGTGGTGGAGCCTACATCATAATTTGTTGCAGAGGGGGCCAGCGTTCGCGCGGCCCCTATCCAGTCCGAGTTCAAATTTTTTCTTAAAATATGCTTTGTTTCCTTTTCTATGCATTATATTTGTAAGTGTTGTATTATGTTTTTTCTTGGCTTCTGGCTTTGGAAAGCATATTTTTCTTTCAATGTTTTGGATGTTTCTAAACGTTCAGGTTAAGTGATTAATTAAGAAATACAACTCTTCCGTAATGAGTCCCACATCGACGGTATTAGGCTAAGCGGTGAGGAAGATTTGATGTATAATATAAAAGGTGCAGCTCTTGATTAGGTTCAACTAATCGACAAAGCCTCTATAGAAATCTCATGGATCTTAGTTTAAAAGTATAATATTAATGTCGAAATGTTAAATAAGCACACACTAAGTGATACTGATATGTAATCTACTTTATTATAGAAAAGGGTTTTACGACTCTTTCCATTAACAGCAAGAGATTATTGCTTTTCTAATAAAAAATGGATGTAATTTGCAATGGATTTCATGCCATCTATGCCACTGACCAATTTGAGTCACTGTAATCATATGTAAGACCCAACCTTACATTCTTCTGCATTCTTTGACAATTGAAATCTTTGTTCAACAAGTATTAGTGTAGGATTTCATACCTGCACTAGTTCTTTGAAACTCAATTCCAACAAAATATGACATGTGGCCTTGATCAATCATCTTAAACTCCTTTGTCGCGTCCTTAAATTCATTTATGTAGGATTTTCTTTCTCTACATACGACTACCAAATACTTCACCTAAAGGTGTAGAATGGCTTCCTCTTTTGCCGTGTCTACTCTCATGTACGGTTCATGCTCAAACAAATATTTGATGAAGTCAATTTCACTTTAAAAACCATCTATTCTCTCGATGCTTGTTTAGCCCATATAGTTCCTTTCTCAATTTATAGATCTTTGATTTCTGTTTCTTCACATAAAAACCAAGAGGTTGTGCGACACAAATCTTTCATCCATAACAAATCCCTTGTGCCATAGCTCTAAACTCCGCTTCATCGCTTGATCAAACAACTTCAAGTAAATGAAGGTTTCTTCTTATGGTTAGTGATCATGAAATTTTGCTTCAACGCTTCTCTTCAAACAAGACAATTAATCTTCAGAGACAAAACCTTGAAGATCTCTTGAAATAAGATATAGTTATTATTTGTTTGTTGACTCGGAATTTTTAAAAAGGGGCTTATCGAATGATGCGTCATATGTTTGGTTGTTAGATGAGCAACGCAACTTAGCTACCATATAGTCACAGATTTTAATCAATGCTGGAGTATTTGTGGAAGATGATCATCAAATATAACATCTCCCATTTAGATCGGATCGAAGTCATTGAGTAAAATCAAGATTCGAGTTACTAATGGAGATTTATAGCATAAACCAACCAATATGAAATCAAATGATATCGAGTGTGAGATGTTGGATCGAACTCTAGTATGGTCGAAGTCTGTTCGCGAGTAATGCGTGTTGTAGTTGAAGTTTGTTCTAACATGCATTAGTCAATATTGTTAAGGTTGTTAGCATGTTGAATTGAGCCTTACTTGTAAGCCCAATTGTTTAAGTTAGCTTGTAATGGGTAATTGTTAAAAAGCCCATTAGGTTAGTGTGCTATTTTATTATAAATAGGATGCTAGTTTCTCAATCTTGAGATAAGGAAAAATAGGAAGATAAAATCCTAATTTCAAGGGAGAGAGGTTATTTTGTTATTCTTGTATACTTGTAATCTTGTTCAAAGAGAAAGGAAAGAATAGCAGTTTAATAACCAATCCTTGTTGTTCCTTGTTGTTTTACCTTGTTTTCTTTGTTAACCCTAACCCTTGTGAGTTTCTTGATCATTAAGAAGTTGTTTATACTTTGTTTAAAGGTATCCGATTCACAACAAATTGGTGCGGTGAGCGTGGAAAAGATGCATTCAACAAAGTATGAGATTAAAAAGTTCACCAGAGTGAACGACTTCGGTCTGTGGCGCTTGAAGATGAAAGCCCTATTGGTTTAGCAGGGTTGTTTGGAAGCGTTGAAGGGTGAGACAGCCATGGACGCTGCGTTAACGGCAAAAGAAAAGACGGACATGATCGAGAAATCCCACAGCGCAATATTGTTGAGTCTTGGTGATAAGGTTCTTCGACGGGTATCAAAGGAGACTACAGCATCGGGATTACGGGTGAAACTTGAAAGTTTGTACATGACCAAATCTCTGGTGAATCGACTCTACCTGAAGCAAGCTTTATATTCATTCAAGATGAGTGAAGACAAAGTGTTGGTTGAGCAGTTGGATATGTTCAACAAACTGATTCTTGATCTTGAAAATATTGATGTGAAGATCGATGATGAAGATCAAGCACTGTTGCTGCTGTGTGCTTTGCCCAGAACACATGCTCACTTCAAAGAAACTCTCTTGTATGGAAGGGAGTCTCTGACTTTTGAAGAAGTTCAATCAGCCTTGTATTCTAAGGACTTGAACGAAAGAAAGGAGCATAAACCTTCGACGGTGGGCGAAGGTTTGGCCGTTAAGAGAAAATTCTTGCGAAATGATGGTAAGTTCGACAAGAAGAAAGGTAAAAGTCAACAGAAGTCTTATAGTGCCGAAACATCTAGTATTCGATGTTATCACTGTAAGAAGGAGGGTCACATAAGAAAGGTGTGCCCTGAACGCCTGAAAGATCATGGAGGTAATGGCAATGCAGCCATTGTTCAAGATGACTTCGACTC